CCCACCATCACCACCAGCCACTGTTACCCACCCCCACCACACCCACCCGTCATCGCCCACCACTGCAGCCCACCCATTATCACCTACCCGCACCACACTTACCACCATTGTTATTTTGTCATCACCCATCACACTGTCGCCTAGAAACATCAATCGTCGCCTACACCACTGCCGTCGTCCCACCATCACCACTGCCAATCACTATTACTGTGGTCAACTACCATCATATCGTCACTCACTCACGGCTGCCACTACCATCATTATCACCAAAATTCACCATCACCATCATCGTTGTCACCCACAGCTGTACACCCACTCCACTACAAACCATATCGTGTCTCACCATCATCACTGTCGCCCACCACTACTTACCCTGCTTATCTCCATTATAATCAGTACTTAAATTTCTTTATATCTCTTTTATGTTTGTGATTTGATTTTGAGTGTGAGAATACAAATATGTTTATTGCTGACCTTTTTTTTATTATTTCGTACCTTTAAGCATAGGGAACAACTAGTCTATATAATAATATAATATAATTCAAATCTCAAAAGATAAATAAAATGATTTTTACTATTCGCGATTAGATCGCTTAAAATTTTATTTTAAAGTTAATCTAGCGGGTAATATTAACACCACCAATTTAATAGGAAAAATAAAGTCCTAAATGTGTGTTTGAAGTGATTTTTTAAAAGTACTTTTAAGAATTATTTCTCATAAGTACTTTAAAAAAATAATGTTTGAAATCGCCTCACCACTACCACTTTCTCTACCACACCCCACCCCTCCCCACCCACTCCACCACCATCACCACTGCCACCCCCCACCCCCATCCCCACCACCCCACCACCATCACTATCACCGTCGCCACCATCACTATCGCGACCCTACCATACCCATCACAACCATCACTGTCGCTACCACCACCATCACCACTTTCATTACCCCACCACCACCATAACTACTACTACCACCGTCCCACCACCACCATCACCACTATTTCCACCGCCCCACCACTACCATTCCCACCACCATCGCTGCCGCACCTTGCCACCATCACCACAACTATCACACCTTACTACCACCACTACTGTCTCACCATTACCCCTACCACTCCGATGACCATCACAACTACCACCACTGCCGCCAACCCACCACTCCCACTGCCCCACCTCCACCTCCACCCCTACCCTACCCTGACTGCCCCACCGCCACCGATTACTGCCATCGTTGTTCATGACCACCACCCACCACCATCGTTATCTTATTCTTATATTTATTATTATTATTACTATTATCCCACTATCACTGTTGCCCACCGTCAGCACCCACTATCACTCATTGTCCCCCACCATCGCCATTAGCCACTGTCACCTACTCCACCACACCTACCACCATCGATCACCATCATTTGTCATCAGCCACCACCACAACCACCCACTATTACCTACCCCCACCACACTTACCACTATCGTCATTCGCCATCATTCATCACACTGTCGCCTAGAAGCATCCATCGTCAACCACCACCACCATCATCACAGCCTACCACCACCACTGCTAACCACCATCACCGTCGTCCACCACTACCCACACCCATCACCAGCACTATTGCCACCCACGGTTATCACTACTATCATCGTCACTCAAAACCCACTATCATCATCATCATTGCCACCCACGGCAGCTACCACCACCACGGTCGTAGCCTTACCCACCACAACCATCACTGTCTTCCACTATTACCACTGTCGGTCATCACCACTATCACCGCTCACCCCTACTACAATCGGTGCTTAAATTTCTTTATTTCTCCTTTATGTTTGTGATTTGATTTTAGGTGTGAATACAAATATGTTGACCATTTTTTTTTATTTCATGTCTTCAGGCACGGGGAATAACTAGTCTACATAATAAAGTACAATATAATTCAAAACTCAAAAGATAAATAAAATGACTTTTACTATTTGCGGTTGAGATTTCTTTAAATTTTATTTTAAAGTTAATCTGATGGCTAATATTATTACCATAAATTTAATAAAAAAATAAGCCCCAAAAAGTGTGTTTAGAGTAATTTTTTAAAAGTGCTTCTACGAATTATTTCTCATAAATACTTTAAAAAAAAAGAGTATTGTTTGGAACTGTCTCACCACTACCTCCACTGCCCCACCACCATCACCATTACTACTACCACCACAAATTATTCCCCACCACCACCATCATCGTTGCCGCCACTATCGCTACTTTACTACACCCATCGCCCCCACCACCATCACCACTGCTGCCACCATACTACCACCACCTCCATCGCCCTACCATCACCTCCATTGCCCTATCCCCACCACCTCTACCGCCCCACTACCACCATTCCCACTACCAATACTATCACACCCTACCATCACCACCACTGTCCCACCATCACCCCCTACCACCACCACCACCGCTACACCACCATCACTACCATCACCACACCACCACCACTGCCAACGTCGCCAAAGCCCCATTACTGTCGCCACCCCCACTACCCCACCACCTCCACCCCCACTGCCCCACCATCACCATCGCCACCCACTACGATTGCTACCACCGTCGTCCACCACCACCACACATCACCATCGTCATCTTATTTTTATATTTATTATCATTACCACCATCATTTCACGATCTTCGCTACCCACCACAACCATCACCACTACTGCCCACCACTACTACCACCGCTCATCCCCACTACAATCGGTGTTTAAATTTATTTTTCTCTCCTCTATATTTGTGATTTGATTTTGAGTGTGAATACAAATAGATTTATTGTTGAATATTGTTTTTATTATTCCGTACATTTAGTCACAGGAAATAATTAGTACATATATATTCCTATGGCATCATCAACATCACTGTTATTATCCACATGACAATAACAATGTCTCTGTTACTGTCCTGAACAATAACAATGCCTGTGTTACTGTCCTGAGATAGTAAAAATACTCTACTATTATTGTCTCCAGAATAGTAACAATGCCACTGTTATCACGTGATAGTAAAAATATTCCACTGTCCCCCGAATAGTGACAACGCCTCTGTTAATTGTATATCCCATAAGAAGAATGAACATAAAAATTGAAAAAAAAAATAAAAAATCTTTTGCTAAGTGTTGCTCCTGCATATAATCATAAACACTTGTTTATGCAAATGAAAAAAAAATTTAAAAAAAGGCAAAGCAAAAAATCAAATTCAATGAATATAATGTCGCAAACATCTTCAAGCTGTGAAATCGTTTACGCAGACGGAGATGCTGATAAATAACATCGTTAACAAAGAAGATAATGAACAATATGCTTCTTCTGTTAAGCTCAAAAAATCCTCCACTTTTTTCGCTAAGTTCTTTTATCTCCCTCCCCCTTCTCTTTATGAAAAAAATTGCCAAAATTTAGCGTTTTAAAAACATCAATTTATTAGATAAAATCACAAATCTGAAACTCGAAGGCAAAAATAAAAGGGAGAAAGGAGAGAGAAATTAGAGGAGGAGAAAGGAGTTATAAAAAGATATACGTGATTTATTGAAGGTCAAAATAGAAAATTAAAAAAAAAAAAAGTAAAGGGAGTATATGACTATTAGACCTACTTACAAAAAAATACGTATGTGTCTTTAATAATTCAAAGAGATTGCGTGTGTCCTTGTTGACACAGGAGTTCTTCATATTATACTTTATTCCAATTTTTACTATATATAGTCCAAAAAATTTAGTCTATATAGGATCAATTAAATATATATCATAAAAAAAACCCAAATTAAAACAATTAAAAAAAACCAAACTCAAACAAAAAAGTCCAACCTTCTTTCTAATTTTAATCAATATTTTACTCCTTTTAACAATTCAAATCGTATAAAAATATTTTTGGCTTCTTATTTAGTTTGAAAATTAAAACTATTAGATGATGAGAGTTTAAAAAAATAGTATCTTAACCTTGAGAATTTATTAAAATATGATCAATTTTTTGATATCGATTGATTATATTTATTTTCAAAATTAAAAGTTAGATGTTTTACAAGTAGATTACAACACTCTAATAGAATCATTAAGTTATATCAAAATGTTAAATTATTTTTTAAATGAATGCATTGCTTAATAGAATAGTATTAACCATACTCGAAAAAGTTGCTTCTGCTGAAAAAAAAAATTAAATTAAAACTTGTAAAATATCATTTAAGATCAACTATGTCTCCATTGAAAATAACTTGGATGTAAAACTTAATCACTAAATTTGCGTGATAAAAAGTGAGAAGAATTTTTTTTATGTAAAATATTAATCATATTATATATTTAAAATAAATTTTAAAGGGCCGTATTTAAAATTTCTGCACAGGCCCTATTTACATTGAGCCGAACTTGCATATCTCGAGTTTGCGTAACAATAATGGATTTTATAGAATGCCTGATCGAGATAGTTGTAATTGTTTTTACCCACAAAAAAAAATATTATTACTATTGGGACATAATTTAGAGACTTAATGTATTATTACCATTAGATTAATAGTATTAGGACTCAATGATAATTTAATCTTGGACATACTGACATCTAATAACCACAATTATTATGTTTCCAAATTATACACTAGTCAATAAATAGCATCCAAATCATACACACAAAAGAGGGGGAGGGGGCCGGCCTTATTGAATCAAACATCATCCCCATACAACACCAAGAAAACAAAGCTTGTCCTAAACATTCACTTCTCCCACGCCATATATTCAGCAGCAGACTTTATGTCTCAAAGCTAAACAAACAAACAAACAAACAAGCAATGATTTGAGTTCTTTGATGCACCCAAATCCACAGATCATCAGGCAAAGCGATATATTTGGGTGATAATCACTTATCCATGAAGCTTAAATGACTCAAAAGCAGCATCAGCATCACAACCTTTCACTGTAAATGTGCTGAAAAATTCTTGATATTTATAGGCTCTGTAGAACTGAGGACTGCCTGAATTAACCAAAGCTCTTGCAGGTTCAATACATACGTCGTTAGAGGGAATAAGAAAGCAGCCAATGGTGGTTCGTGCCTCCTTTGAATGTGTCACCACGCGATGTTTTGGACTTTGGAACTTGTCGTTGCTGATGGCCTGCAATACCCCAACATTTATATGGTTAAAAAGTTCATTCAAGTTAAAATCGGAAGAAGGAATGCAGATTTATGTACCCGTAGTTGGAGGCCTGGTATGACTAGAAGAGCATTAGGGAGTGGCTCAACACCAATCCATTGCCCATCCTTTAAGAATTGAAGTCCAGGAACATCACACTGCTGAAGCATGCTTATGAGGTTAGGATCAGAATGTTCAGGCATCCCCAAGGTCAAGCTCGGATCGGGGCACGGGACATGATAATTTACAGACAATAGCTGATTTTTGCTGAATTCACCATCAAAATATCTCAGTTCAAGTCCAAGTCCTTCACACATCAGATCCAAAATCCTCAAAAGAAATTTCCTTACTTCAACCGAATATTGTCCAACAACGTCTCTGAAATTTTTTTGTTTGTCATGAAAAATCATTCTATTTCACAATATAACAACGTTAAAGGATAGAAATATAATTGGTTGATGATGAGATTTAGGAGTTTACCGATATCTGGATGGTTTTTCGGGCCAAAACTGGATATAATCGTCTACAGGATGACAACGGTGGGTGAAATTATCTCTCCAGTAATGAAACTCTTCTTTGTCATAGTTTAAAGTGCTTGTGTAGAGCCTACAGCTTCTATTGATGTCATTAGAGTAAAAGCTTGCCTTGTACTCAGCAGGCAAGCCGAAGAACTCTTTGAACACACTCATTGTGTCATCCATTAAAACTTCTGAAACTCCATGGTTGATCACCTGTTTCATCCACAGCATTTTTTTAAGAATCAGAACAGTAATATAACAATATAGTAAAGTAAAATTTCATGTGTTTGGTCGAAAAATATTCAATTTTTTTGCTCTAAGACTGAAATTATGGTGACCATGAACCTGGAAGAATCCGAATTCTTGGCTTGCTTTGAGAATTTGCTGAATTGTCTCTGCTGGATCATGATCCTCATCAATTGGTTTAAGATCAATCACCGGAATGTCGTTACACACCGGAACGAGGTTCTTTCCTGGTCTTCTTTCCGGTGGGAAGACAAAACTTTCAGGCATAGATTGAACATTAGACCAGTTTGAAATCAGGACCTCCATCTCTTGGTGTTAATCTTCCAACTGATATGTGGGTTTTCCTAGTAAGAGGTGAAGATTGACACATAAATATATACTTGATCCTTGTCCAGGTAATTAAGACAACTACAGGCTATAAATAATGAGAGTCTCGTGTACTAGACCGTCATTTCATAGCTTTACAATTTGGTAGGATATCATTTTGAAGAAAAATATATAGGCTAGAAATGTATAGTGTTGTGATGGATTTGTATGTCTCTGAGTTGGGTCGTGCTAAAATTTTTCAACTAATATCCGACTCATTTATAAACACATATAGACAGGTTTGTGTCGTGTCGAATTTGTATTGCGTTCAGTGAATTCGTGTTGTATTGAGCCGCTTCATACTGACCCATTTATCGGACTAGTTTAACAGGTCCATTCGATTACCACAAAAACTCACTAATGTTAAATCTAAATAAATACTTAATTTTATGTTAGATTTATGAATTATGTGTTTATATATATTCCTTTTCAATAGTATGGACAAGCAATCCCTTGTGAGAATCAATGAAATTAGATTCCTTGTAGTTCAATCTATTTGGTCACCAAATATGCTTCGGAGAAAGAGTTGTAGTGGTGATATTGTTGTTCCCATATGCTGTACGTTGTGGTCCATAAATATATGGTCCCCATTAATAATAAGCTTCCATCCAAGTGATGGGTGCATTATTGCATGATACAACATCCTTTTCTTGATGATACTAGTGGAAAATTGCAGATCAATCTTATTTGCTTGAACAACTATTTTTGTATAATCTAATCTCACAATGACGAAAATCTCGTGTATTGAGTCGCTTTCTTTACTCTGACATATTGATTTGGACTCAATTTTAATTGTCACGGCACATAAAGGGCTTCACCTGTATTACACTCGACTGGTCATACTCTTGTGTAGTGGGATTAATGTTGTATATAGTCGATATTATTAAACCGGTCTAGCCAATCAAGTAGATTACAACTCTAGCAAATTAAAACTAAATTAAAGTCTAATAATTTCATGTCGATTTTGTGTCAGATTGGTATGTATTTTAAGAATGGATAGCTAAAGGCACAATATAATAGGCAGGTTTGATGCAAGTCTGCCCCATGTAATCTTGGAATTGGCTTCACAAAAGATTGTGTTATATATTTTCTATCTAGATCTGCCCCTTTCACCACAACATCAAGCCTCTAAATTTTGAAAAGGCCACAGGTTTTTCACACATCACGTGTGTGTGCCCACTCTAAGAAGAGGTTAAGTGTTGCAGTTTCTTTCTCTTAATTAATTTTATGCCCATTTTCTTATTATATTTACAGATTTCACATCATTTATTTTAAAAGAAAAACTGCAGCAATCTGAGACATTTAATGAAGTTTTTTTTATTGTTTTTTCGATCTGGTAAATCCCTGAGAGCAATGTTGTAAGACTTAATTTGAAGACTTAATAATGTGACTTTAATACTACCATTAGATCAGTTGTGAATTCCAATGTTAGGTGATAGAGCCCATTACCGATCTAATAGTTGTATTCAATTAAGTCCAAATAACATTTTTCAATCTCTAATGAAGTTCAAAGCTGGTGGCTTTGACATGCATGCCCCTAGCTTCCACTACAAAGACTACTGACTCCATTATTGTCTCAAAAGTATTAATTAATTGAATTATTGAGCCACATTAAAACTTAGTTTTATTTTGGATAAATTATATTTTGATTCTCTAAACTATGAACTCAATTTTACTTTGCTTCTTTAACTATTCAATTTTTTATATTGCCCCCTTAACTGCTTTTATTATTTCATATTGCCCCAATCACAAATGTTCATTAACTTTTTGAACAAAAATTGCTGCCGTGTCAGTGCAAAATCAAAATAATGTCAAGGACGTTAATAATTGGGACAATGTAAAATTAATCACATAGTTGAGGGTATAATGTAAAAAATATGATAGTTAAGAGGGTAAAATAAAAAATAGGTCATAATTGAGGAGGTCAAAGTATAATTTATTCATTTAAAGTAAGGGTCTACACTTCTGACAGATGTTAATCGAGCTAACTTTTGCGAGCTTGAACTCGAGCTCGAGCTTATTAAGTTCGTTTTTTTAAACGAGTTAAAAAAATTGTTCAAATTCAACTTATTTAGAAAATAAGTCGAGCTCAATCCTAATCGAATCCGAGTCAAACCCAAGTAACTTGATTATTTTACGTATAAACGAACTGAACCTGTTAAGCTCGTTTTTTTAAAGAATAAAAAATTATTTAAATTCGATTCGTTTAAAACATGAGTCGAGTTCATACTGAATCGAGCTTAAATAATTCGGCTCAATTAAAAGCTCTACGTCGATGCCTTGTATTATGTAAGGGTTGGCACTAGGTCGAGCTGACTTGGTCTCCATTAAATGGCAGTTTGTTAGGTCAAAATTCTGGTTGGGATGCGAAAAACCTAGAAATTTATCAGATTCATGCTAATGGATCTTTAATGGGTTATTTATCGAGTTGATTTTAATGTCCTAAATGGGTTATAATGTGGTTTTTATTTGATTAAATATCTATTTTTCTAAATTTATGATTTAGAATAGTAAAGTTAGACGTGAGACAACTTAACATTTTGATTGAAATGACATCTCGAGGATTTGAGATAAGTTTTGTGCATAGAAATGAAAATTATAAAACTTTAGATTTTCTTAATGATATTTTCATAAATAACTCAAACTTTAATTTGATTTTTGTATATTGGTTTTATTAATTTTTTTTTGAGGGAGAATTACATCCAGACTCTTGAGATTTATCACTTAATCACTTAAACTCTTAACATTTAAAATATTACAAACAGAACCCTTGAGATTTGTATGTACATAATACTTAGATCACTACTATCAATCTTCGTTAGAATATCCGTTAATAAATTACACTAAGACTCCTAAACTTTGTATACGTGTAATATTTAGACACCTCAAATTTAAAATGTTATATATAGACAAAAATTATTTCAATCAAAAATAGAATATTAAATATTATAAATTTTACAATCAAAATTTTTATTCTATTATATCATTTATTAATATAAAATCAAAAATAAAAATCTATATTTTTAAAAAAAATTATAATTAATATACAATTATATTATGTATTGGAATAAAATTAAAAAAAATTAAAAAATGGTTAAACTGTAATGGATACAATATCTTATATATTTAATTGTGGTAGTTTGATCATTTAATAGATATATTTAAACCCTTCAAGTTTACAATATTATATTTAAATAAAAAATATTTAAATCAAAGATAAAATATTAAATATTTTAAATTTTATGATCAAAATTCATGTTATATTATGACATTTATTAATATAAAATCAAAAATAAAAATTTATTTAAAAAAAATAGTAATTAATATACAATTATACTATCTATTGGAATAAAACTAAATAAATAAATTGTCAAATTGTAATGCACACAATATATTCTATTTTTAATTAGGATAATTTGGTCATTTAATAAATAATATAATTGCATATTAATTATGATTTTTTAAGAAAAAAATATTTTTTTATTTTTAATTTTATATCAATAAATGATAAAATAGAATATAAATTTTAGTTGTAAAATTTAAAATATTTGATATTTTATCTTTGATTAAAATATTTTTGGTCTAAATATAACTTTTTAAATTTGGTGAGTTTAAATATTACACGAATACAAACTTTAGAATGTCTGGGCATAATTTACTAACGGGTCTTGTATTCGATATTGATGGTAGGGGTTTAAGCGCATAAAAATTTTAGGGGGTCTGTGTATAATATTTCAAATATCAGAAGGTCTAAGTAATTAAATAACAAATTTTAGGGATCTAAATATAATTCTCTCATTTTTTTAATAAAACTTATTAATCTAATCATTTATATTAATTTGATACTATTGCTTTTCGGTAATCACATCATTTTCCGTCGAAGCCAAACCGGCATGTCACTGACCTCCAAATGAAAAGCCAGCCCAGCGTATGGGCACGGCCCAATTGGCTATCCCCATGGGCCACGTACCACGTCCAAATCCATCCAGCCCATCTATGCCTGCACAGCCTTTAATAGGATTAATCTTTCCTACTTTGATCCAATTTATTGACTTGAGAAAATGAAACCCAAAAATTTAAATTCAAATGAATATCATCCCTTGGATGAGTGTGAGATGAGTGAGCCTCACTGAAAAAATTCAATTCAATCCTGGTCAACAGTTTCTCAAATGAGCTCGAAGTAAGTCTAACCACAAGGGGAGAAAGGATCAAGAGTAAAGCCTGACACCAAATCCCATTCAATGATAAGGTCATCAATGTCACGACACCTGCTTCTAGAATGTCACATTGTATATAAGGGAATGTAATATCTAATGACTAAATATTTTTCTAATATATTAATAAACTAAGCGACCACCCCATCATTTCTTGAACCCACTCTATTGGATAGTATAAATAGGCTAGCCCTTGCCATGTAATAAGAATGATGAACACCTGCTCACAAAAAAAGTTGTAACTATCTTCTTCCTCATCAACCACAATACAAATCACAGAAGCAAGAAATTACGTTAAAATAGATTAGTCAAAATTTTCAACTGATAAACTACTGAATCTCGTGTGTTTGTCGATTCTTACGATTGATTTATCTATTTCCCCTCTATATACTCTACATATTCGTCTTAGCGGAGAGCTCTTCAGCCTCCCTCTCTCATACACCAGATTCCTAGCACCATGAAAATTAAATTCCAGATAGTGGTAAATAAACAATACACAACTCATGACCATCAAATTAGCCAAAAATTTGATATTCAAACTTAGGATTTTGAAATAATAATTATGGTAAGTGATTACACTTGTATACTTTCGAAATGATGTGTATGAGTATAGTTACATTCCCCAAGTCAAAATGAGAGATACCCATAATCAGATAAGTCTCATTAATATCCTATTTCAATGTCTACTACTATTTTGCAGTACTCTAAAAAGAAAAGAGAGCACCATCTCCTACAGAATATTGTATAGTGTTGAGCGACAATAC